AGGGGGGGGGGGGGGAATATTACAAGAGGAACAGTCAGTGAAACACTAAGAAGACAGTGAAAAATATTACACAACCATTGATGAATCATGTAAAGCTTGAATCTTTCAAGAACCCTTTTGGATAAACGACCAACAAGCCCTTTGCTTCCTCCTTGATGTTGATGGTCCTTATTCATTGCTGATTTACAAACGAATAGATCTTATATGTTTTATATATTACATATGAAAAGCATACCATTACCATTATTAGCATCTTCTGATTGGATCTTTTAGAACTGGCTAAGTGGAGATTGATGCCGAATCTCTGTAGGTTTTTCTTGGGTTAGAAGCATGGACAGTACTGTTGCTGTTGTAGACGAGAGTTCTTGAGTTGTCATGCTGCTGCTGAAACTGCCTTTGCTGGTGAGATTGCGGCTTTGGATTGAAGGAGCTGAACCTTCCTTGCTTCTGGCTATGTTGTTTCCTTCGTGGCTGAGAAGAAGATCTCGGGATGAACACTCCTGTCCCTTTGCTCTCTCTTGTCCTGCAGCTCTGCTCATACGCATATGGAGATACCCCAACACCTGCAGATGCAGTTTGGTAATTCCCTCCCAACAAACCCTGTTTCAAAATATCAAAACAAAACCTCGTATTAAGAAGAGGGTAACCCACATAAATCAAGGAAGAGAGAGATGGGTTAGGAACAAACCTGGAAAGAGACAGAAGAGCAAACAGAAACAGGGTCTTGCTCGTCATCTTCATCCATGATGAGAAGAGAGATCTGCTTGCTTATGTCAGCAAAGAAGACATCATCTTCAAGCTCCAGCTCCATAGCCAATTCCATGGCCATACGTTCCCCAACTTAGTCGTCTAAGCAAAGAGACCCAAGTGCGTAGAAAGAAGTGTTTTTGCTCCAACTCTAGTGGAGTTGGGCGAATGTTGAAAGGGTCACATAAATAGGCAAGAGATGGGCTCAGAGAGAGGAGAGAGAGAGAGAGAGAGAGGGAAAAGTGCATGTGGGAGAGTGGGTCCAAACGAAATTTGCAATCTAATCTGGCTAAGTCCCACAAAAGGATCATGAAGCGGTGCAATGATGTTATCCAGTTGTAGATTTAGAGATAGAATCAAAGCTTCACACAACACACCCATATCTCAAATTTCATTACACATCTCATCCACAGCACTCTCTCTCTCTCTCCCCCCATAATTTGTCCTAATGGCTTAAAATTCATAGTCCAATCTCTCCTCCATATGGAACTCTAACAACCGCCCCTTATCCACAGTCTTCCTATGTCAAACCCAACCCACTGTCTGCATACATACTACTGAATCTTAATTTATTTCTTTCCTTTTTTTTGATATAATCCATTAACCCATATAAAAAAAAAACCATAATCAATATATCATTTCGATGGAATGGACCCATTTTTTTTCCCCATCCAATAAAGGGCTAAAAGATATTTTCTTTGAAATTAGCAATGACAACAACAACCATTGGAAGGGAATTAGTGATAGGGAGCTGGACACTGAGCAATTTGGGGGGAGAGAGTCCAAAAATGGGTTTAAAACAAGAACAAAGCTGTCAGCAGAATCCATCTCCGATCCGATTTGTTTTGTCTGCAAAGAGTGTGGGGTCACACACCGATCTAGTGGGTAGTCTATTAGATTCAATCTTATATTACCACCTTGGAAGATAGGTAAAGTTCAACACTTTAGGTTCGGTAATATTGTTTCGTATTCTATTCAAAGGAACTAAATGGATAAGGAGGAGAGGTGGAAGCAGAGCCACAGAACAAAGGGTAACTTGTGAGCGGCAGATCTTGTGGCTGAGAAAGGACCTCTTGGCTTCAAATGTATAGGTACGTATGTATGCGGTTGAAACTCGAAACCCACCTCGAAAGTTGAAACCTTTTCCTAGGAAATCACGTTTGTAATTCCCGATAGATTGATGAACAAAGGTTAGTATATTATAAAACAGCAAATAAAAAGGAGGCCACAAACTTTGGATGGGATACGTTTATGATCTCGGAGATTCCGCTGAAGGGCTTTTTGGAGCATTCCCCCAACTTGTTGCCCTTATCTCTTCCGCTAGTAAATAAACAGCCCAAATATGCCGTCATGGAAATAAAAAAAAAATCAAAGAAGAAAATAAAGCTCAAAACTTTATTATTATTATTATTATTGGTAAAGCTCAAAACTTTATTGTTCAGTGAATAATCTCAAATTTGATTAATTCAACCGGTGAAACGAAGAAACAAATCATCTGTCCCGTTTCGAATTCCATTAGAAGGGAGCATATAATTCCAAATCATATGACTAGTTCCCACCACCGAAATTAGTATGGGTCTAGGATGGCCGTTTACCAAAAAACCTTTCACACGGTTCACGCCGACTTCTTCTGGACCCTCCGACTAATAAGGTGCCACCGTCTTTGCTTTGGGATTTCATTAATGACACTCTCATTCCACAATCCTCTTTCTATCATTCATAATGATAAACAACAAACAAAAGCTTAGACTATTCTATACAAAAAAGAACTTGCTTATTCAATCAATGCCCATAATGAGACAGCCGCCACCCTATTTGACAAAAGAGATGCATTTGCCGCGGTCCATTTATGAAATCGTGATTACAGTTGATGAATCTTATTTCAACATTTTATGGAACATCCATAACCATCCGATGTTTATTTCATCCGTTCAACCTTTTCATGGATATGAGGTGGATTAAAAATGGACAAACAAATGATATGCATGATGCAAGTTTTTAAAGTTTACTCTTTTATTTTCAAATACCCGATCTAGATCATTATATTTTTCTGTAATAAATCTATCCTTTTGTTATATAGTTATCAATTCATACCCGTGATATTCTGCCAGATATCTTACCTGAGACCTTCAGAGTACGGCTTCATGATATATCCAAAACCTTCAATACCCTAATTTTGTTCTTGAACAATCGACCCATAATGCGAATGTACACGACACGTGAAAATATTCACTATGAAGGAACAAGACAGGACATGAACTCAGAGAATCTCAGGACACAACTAACAGACATCAGTTTCTTGTTTTTGTTTGGTCATAGATTCTCACATCTTCATGTTAACCACCAATCAGATGTATAACCCGAAACGAAACGACCGATCCATCGTAAAAATAGACGCGTTTCTTCGTACAAAGCATCCAACAATAACTATGTTAACACCCAACCAAAAAACAAGACAAGAGTGGTAGTAAATTGAGCAGAGTGCATACCTCTACTGAGCTGTTCTCTTTTTTTTGTTTCCTCTCTCGGAGTTCCTTTTCCGGGGATGCATTCATATTCAGAAGGGAAGGTCAAGCTCCAACGGCCGTGTCCATGTCCGTGACACCGTCTGCTCCTCTGAAGACAACGCGAAGTTTCGTCAAGCTCGACTGTTTCTCGTCATTCTTGTGGGCTGTTCCGAAAACATGGACTGTGTCCTTCTGGACTCTTCCCATGAGATCATAGAGCAGCCGGTTCAGGTTTGGTCGGTACATTTCCTCCAGAACCGGAGGCGCCTGCATGTAAAGGTTGCTCTTGCCATGTTTGACGCTTGCTCTCGACAATAGAAGCTTCGGATGTTCTTCGAGCATGTCAATGAACTGTTCCAGAAATTGAGATGAAAGATCAAGGAAATAAACCACTGGATGTGATCTTCTATCTACCATTTCAGAGAGACAAATGGAGAAGATAAGGTGGGCAACTGACCTTTTGCAAAGTAATTGAGGTGTCCACTTCAATCAGAATGCCAGGACCACATACAAGACAGTCCTTGTCCCTCACAAATTCCGTTACTTTCGTGTGGAGACCCTCTCCGCCGTTATATCTGCCATAAATGGATGACAAGTTGCATGGCTTAACATACACAACGTTACAGTTACAATGCCTTGGGACGAAACGAAATGGAAGAAAACAGTAAGCCATACGTAAGATAGTTTGAAAGTGTTTTGCTGCAGCCAGACGCGATTTTCAAGGTTTCTAACGCACAGGCTGCGGATATAATCGCATTGGTGGAAGCAATTGCCGGTATGATGTTTTTAACCACACCCTGGTTGTGAAAAGAATTGTCAACTAAGGCATTTCGACTCGAATGCTTAACGTATTTTAAAGGATTTAGCAGCAAAATCAGAGTAAAGTTCCATACTTGCGTGAGAGAATATGTGACTCCAGGAATTCCGAAAAGCTCAGCTCTCTTGAGAGCCTGCAAAAAGAAAAAGAGTATTGACGCTAAACCAAAAAGCAAAACCCGGAACTGAAGGAAGTAGAAGCTTTAACCAACCTCATCATAGACCCATTTCATATGTTCTGGGTCGTCTGGGTCAAAGGTTTTTCCGCCATGAACCTGCAGGTAAGGAATGCAGATACCGTGGATAAACACATTATAAAGTGCAGACACACAGGAAAATGGAAAAATGGTTCACCTACATCGGGCCACTTTATTAGATGGGCATACTCAATGCAATGAGCGGCATTTCTAGGGGTTTCTGCAAGAGTGCATAAGGGGAACTTCACTTGAGGAGGGAAGAGCCAGATGGTGCACTCAAAACATGGCGTAACTCCCGGTACAATAACTCTAGCATGACCTTTAAAACCTTCGGTTCCACCATCTACCATCGGTTTAATCGTTTCTCTTCTCGGGTTGTCGTCTTCATCATACTCTAGATTCCAAAGCAAATGATCAGACAACAGATCTGAGATGGCAAAGAACCAAAAAACGAAAAAGAGGTATAATAAGAAAGTTCTCATTGAAAATTAACAGGAATCACATACCAAGAAAACTACAAGCTACGCCATTTATGTATCTCCGAGCTTCGATAGAATCAAGACCAAGAGCAATGATATTAAAATTGTTATAGAACTCAATCTCTTTGTCTTCAATACGAGAAAAATGTGGCACAATGTCCACATCGCTCACTCTCTCCATGACACGTTTTGCAGCTACCTCTGCCTTGGGCTTTCCGACATCTTCAAGCCTAAAACAGGACCAAACAAAAATCTAATGAAACCCGTGCAAGAACCACTACCCAGTGATAGAGCTAACCATTGCTTGGTATCTAACTAACAGAACACCTGCAAGACTTTCAGAAACAGAACGGAACTAAATCAACGGATCATATGGGCACGGAAGTTAGATCATCGGCTCTCGAAAATCTCCAGCTTTTGAGATTCATAGCAACCAGATAGAAAGCCCACACCATTTCGAGGATCAAAAGACGGGTTTAGTTCACAGGTAAGAAGCACAAGAAACGGTTCAGATATACTCATGCGGGCTATACTGACAGGAAAATGGAACCGAAGTGGTAACAAGGAGAGATTGCCTGAATAGGAACTGGCGATTGAGATTGGTGACCTCGATCCGGTCCATATCAATCACCTCCAAATTACGAAAACCCGAAAGGGCTAAATCCTTGAGAAGCTCGCATCCCAGTCCTCCAGCACCGACCACCAAGATTCTCGCGTACTCCCGAAGGTCATCTCTCAACTGCGGAGAAATTGACCCATAAACCATAATCGACACAAAATCACAGAAAAACCCAGAAAAAGATAAGCATCGAATAATCAAAAAGCCGGTGCGTGGTGCGCGCGCGTGTGTCTGAGAGAGAGAAAGTAAGATTTACTTCGGTTCCGGGATAGAAGTCGGGGCCGACAAGATTCCCGGGTCGGAGAAGAAGCTTGTCGAGGTCTCTCGACCGGCTCTGGGGAACTTCGGGATCAGCCATTGAAAGCAAGGCGAGAGAGAGAGAGAGAAGACGAGGAAGATAGAAAAATGGCGATTCTAGCCGATCACAAGGACAACAACTGAAGAGAGACGAGACGAGGCCGAAAACACACAAAAAAAAAAAAAAAAGGTCCGTAATTTTTATATGGGCCGTTTCTTGTAAGTGGGCTCTCAACATAATAAATAGACTAGGCCCAATAATAAAATGTCCATAATTTCCAAACTTAAATTTTTCGATATTATTAAAACTATTGTCTTTTCTTTTTGGAACTTTATGTTTTTGAGTTATCATGAATATTTTCATGGACAGCATTTAAACACCATATGGATATATTCATATCTTTACAATGAGAGAGACACGATCAAACCATAATTACATTTTCCCACCCAATTAAATCTTAACCATCCGAACTAATTCTTTCTGCTGTGTCTTCTTATCTTCCCATGTCAAAAAGCCTCGTCAAAACCCCCGCCATTCCTGTAAGAAACGGAGCTGTTCTAAACTGTTCTTGCCCGCCGTCACCACCGTGTCGCGTTTCCCGTACTTGTTTCGAAAGTCCGAGAAGAAGCTTGGTGCTTAAGAAACAGAGCATAGAGGAGCTCGTTCCATGAATCGGGAACTCCAGGGAGGCACCAGTGGCTGCAGTCTTGCCTGTGCAGTGGCGCAGGACCAGCTGGACCGAGATAGTACAGAGACGAGTGGCCGTCTTTTCTTTGAGCCGCCATGGCTGTTATGTTCAACAGTTTCAGTTTAACCGTCTCCGATCTGTTGGAGAGACCAGACAAGACATCGTTGAGGATCTTTTTCTGTCCCCATGTCCCTGAAGGCACCAATGAGGTTCCGATTTCGGGTAATGTCTCCATATGACATGTTCCTCCGGTTCTCCAGTCTCCTCCCCTGCGGCCACAACACACAGTCGCATGAAGAGAAAGAACACGTGACTAAAATCTTGGACAAAAAAGTGAACGTGTTTTTGGACAAACCTGAAATGAACAGGTGCAACGGTGCGAAAGAAGACCTGGGTTTTGCTCGAATCAACCTCGTCTTGTACCCACTGTACTACTGTCTCGATAGCTTTCCTGTATCCATCCTCTGGCCTCATCTCCATTTTCACTTGTTCACCTTCTTGGAAGTAACAGCCCCTTGCAGTAAAACCGTGGAATCAAATGAGACCAGATGATGAACCAAGACCATTCAGTCTTGTTGGCAGAGTTTATCCAATTTAATGAGACAGACTCCAGTCAGAAGAAGTATGGTCTCTTATAGGAACTATTTGTTAAGACAAAACCAGCTTTAGAGACAATAAATCCTGTGGTCTGAACAAACAACACTCATAAGCAGTTAGGGCATGATAAAATGAACTCACTGTCTTATGGTTTTCTCGTAGTTCCACCAATGGCCAGTGTTGAAGACCAACACTTCCGCGTCTTTCCACTTGGCCGAGGTCCAATCCATCGTGTCCAGTTTCAGGGTCGTTCTGATCTTATCAGGTGATCCAGCCGGCGGCCTGCTCTGGACGACGAGAAACGGCGATCTGTAGTACTCGACCGTGCAGTTATAGTCCTGAAACTTGAACACTAAGAAGCCCTTGTGCTTTGTGATCGGACAACCATTGGTTTCATAGATAGAGCTCTTGTTCTCAACCGCAGAAGACAGCAGACACAGAAGAGACTCCCACTGGTTTCGTCCTATCGAGTCCCCAACGAACACCAGCCTCTTGTCCCGGAGATTCTCCAGCATCAGTTTTGCATCGAATCTGATAATCCATTTAATCAAGCTCAGAACCAAAGGAGATGGCCAAGAACATCAAAAGCTAATAAACTCAGATTCCAAATATCATCAATGAGAGGATCTGAGAAAATTACCTGGGCAAATTGCAAAGTCTGGGTTGCCATCTCCACTTAGTGTGCAACAAATCAGGCCTTCCGTTCTCAGTACACCTAAACCCTTCATCCAAAAAGCTGCAATCTTTCGATTGATACAACGGATAAGTCTCATCCCAAACCCAGTCTCCATCAAACACATCGCACCCATTTCCATCTTCTTCCAAGAACCCCACTCTCTTGGGATTATCATCAGACCCATCAAGCCTCAACCACATAAATCTCTCCGATTGATCCGAAAGGCCGTACCTTTTAGCCACGGCTCTGTAATCGAAATAGAAAAAGGCGCTGATTATACACAAGCCGACCAGGAAAAACCCCAAGACACCCACAGACGGTTCGAACAATAGCCTCCAGCGCTTGAATCTCTTCAGCACTTCACAGATTGGCATGGCTGTATCGTCTTCTGCAGGTGTGTTCTTCGACATCTGAGCCTCGGAGAGGGAAAAACCAAAGCAAAGTTCGAATCTTGATCTTCTGGGTATTCTTCAAAACTCGAACTGAAATCAAAAGGCTCGGGTATCAAGAGATGAGTTCTTGGGCATCTGAGGATCAGAGAGAGAGAAAATTTCAAGACTTCACTTCCTTACTGGATATTCTTTCTCGTCTACTGACAGGTTCTAACGGAGACAAAGCGTCATGGCCAATAGAGCTGAAGCATGTCGAGGATTGTTAATGGGAAAGGGGCTGCTTTGCTTGGTAGGTCAGTTTCCTGGAATTATGAAGAATGATGCGAAGAAATAGGTGTCGAGGAAGCAAGGAAGCACTCAAGGCGGAGTGATACTATGCGCTTTTAATCTTTTCCCTTTCTGAAACCCTTTCCGAGAGAGAGAGAGAGAGAGAGAGAGAGAGAGAGAGGTGCTTTGGAAGTGAATTAATGGCAATATGTCCACAAATACAAAGACGATTCGGTTCAAATCCAAACAAACGAAAATAAGAAAAGAAAACTCAGAAGTTTTTCTTGCAGTATGTGTTGAGTTCTTGAGATTACTGCACAGGATTACACAAGAGAGAGAGAGAGAGATGAGCGTTCCTTGTGGAGATCGTGGGGCTGGAAAGTGGAAACATGGGTGTTTTAATTGGGTTTTTTTGTGTCAAAAATATATTTACAAATATAAAATACAAGTTAATGTGGGTTATATGGAAAATTATGCTGTTTTAGTCAACAAATTATCTTTTCCAAACAGTATTAAAGGTGGCAGTCCAGGATTAATTGTGAGTCAATATCCGAATTCGGTAAAAATAATGAAGTAAGATTAGTGAATATGATTGTAAATCAAATATTATAAATAGAATTGTGAGTTCTATATGGAAGTGAAGAGTATATTATATATTAACAATCTTAATGAAAAAATAAAATAAAATTAAAACTATTGAATACAAACAAAGGAAATTGCCAAAAACTGGAAAAAGTTATCTTCTATGGAAGAGGTTTATGTTGTGTCATAAGGTAACGTTTCAAAATATAGTTTTGGAATCTAGCCTAAGTGGGACTCCCAATACCTTTACCTTAAAATAATAATAATAATAATAATAATAATAATAATAATAATTTAACAAAATACCAATAAATTCACCCAAATCCACTTAAAAACAATCCCACCTTGGAATTAAAATGAAAAGATATTTATAATCCTCCATAAATGTATATTATATGACTGTGGTGTAAGTAATTTGCAATTGTTTGTTAACCGACTTTTGATGTATTCATTCATTGATTTTACTTATATATTCGATTGTAATTGAATGAGATATTTTCGTAATATGTGAATTAGTATTTATTCAGGATTTTGTATTAACTGGACTAAGGTTTTTTTTATTAGCGTTTAAAAACTAAAACGCAAGGCCGTGCTGACGCCGCTTTGACGTTTGACAAGCAACGGTCTAAATACTTTTACCAAACAAAATGAAATAAATAAATAGCACGATTTTGTTTTTTCCTTTTATTTTGAATTTCCCCCGACAAAATATCCCTTGTCCCAACAAACAAATACTAACAAGAAAATTAATCAAAGATTTGCCAAACTTATTACATCTTAACTATTTTTCATAATTTAACAAATCGTATATCTCAAATAATTACGACTCACTCTCATGATAATCAAAATTTTCCGTAAAAAAATATCAATAAAGAGTCATTCATCGGAGCATTATAAAAAATACACTTACTTTGCTATTTTGACTTCAAAGCATACTCTTCTCCAATTGTGACCCTGTGATCCATGTGACCAGAAATTTAATCTTGGTCATTTTGGTCATAACGTTAAATTTATGATGATCACACTCATTCATTATATTCATATCTTATATATCTCACTAATCATTTGATAAAAATATTAATAATTTAATGTTATGACTAATGTGATCAAGATTATATTTCGGATCACATGAGTCACATGATCACAGTTGGAAAAAGATATGTCTTGAAGTAAAAATAGCAAATAGAGGGTATTTTTGATATAATGTTCGTTTAGTCATAGAGCTATAAACAGTTCGATAATTTCGTATCTATTAAAATAAAACATGAAATATGTAATAACAGTATACCCTTAAATATTGCGCTCATCTTTGGTCACGAAATCAGTTGGAATCTTTCTCATGGAAAATTATATATATATATATATATATCGCTCGAGAGTCCAACATCGAGCCGTCCACGGCAGGGAGGGAGGCAATGCATATGAAATTCCATTATAAAAAGACAGCACATGACGCTTGTCTGGAGACCGAACATTGCGTACCCATCAAGATCAAAGGTTAAAGCTCAAATCTTTCTATGATTTTAGAGATACCCAGCATTGTTAAACTTGATTAAGCAATGATTTAAGCCCCCTTTTTTTTCTCTCATTGATATACTCAACCGCTGAATTTAACAAGCGTAGAGGACGGATCTCACATCGCTCCTTGGTTTTCCACCTCCTCCTCCTCCTGATCATGATTTTGTTCCTCCACTCCAATGTGCTTTGATTGGCGTAGCAGTCCTAGTGTATCTGCGTTTGCGTTTGCGCTTGCGTTTGCTCGCTGGTACTACTAACATCAGGACAAAAACTCCAATCGCTGATATTTGCGTCTGCGTTTGCTCGCTGCAATGTACGTCCAAGGGGGGTCGAATCTGAAAGCTTCATGTCCAGACATAAGATCTTGTCCAGGAAAATTGGGAAATTGACAACCATGATTGTCAAGGCGTGGTTCATGTTCATGATCCTTCAAAACCATTTTCCATATTTAGATGCGGAAACCATCAGAACATGGACCAACATAGCCCAGGAAAACCACTGTACCGACGTTGATAACACTTGAAAGATCGAAAAATGGCAATGGCAGATAGTACACATCGGATTTAAAGATCATTTCTTCACATATGATATCATGGCTCTTAAAAGATATGTGCCAACATTGATACAATACAATCAAAGCTGAGATCTGAAGAGAAATCGGCTGTGGTTTGACAGCGGCTCATCAATGTTTGCAACTGCCCTAATGGGTATTAAACAAGGTTCTACCTTACGCAGCCATTGCGACCCCAAGTCTCTACCTTTTCTGCTCCCACCTCTCCTTGTTACTATCTTCCCACCAACCTTCTGGTTCATCTACATCATAAGACGGTAAAAAGAATGTTTAGAAATCGATGAATGTACAGAGGGTAAAGCCAATTTAGGATGCAAGAGACAGAGCCTAAACTTCTGTGACCAAAATGCCAAAAATGTGCTTTAACATATCTCGTGAATGCACTCTTTGCGCTACTTGGAAAAAGCTGAAGGGGTAAGCAACAATTCAGACTCATCCAGGAATGTAAGACAGTGGGCCAGAAACATGAGCTAAGGCAACAGAATCATAACAATGCCAATCCTCTTCTCATGGGAGTCAGAATGCCATGCCTAATGAATAAACAAGATGCAATGTTTGAGAACAAAAATATCGAAAAGTTCATCTGAGATAGAGAAGACGAGTGTATATCAATCATCAAAATTGATAATACTTGTCGTGAGAACAACAATGTAAACATCTACACAATACATTCCCACCCTCAGACTTTCCTCTCAAATCAACAAGATCCTTTACCACCCCCCGTCTTTCTCTTACTGCGAAGATTTGCAAAGTTCTCGACTTTCGCAGCAAGGGAGTGAGGGCAAATGAACTAAACCTACATCAAGCTAATCTCGGAAACAAAAAGATGGACACTTTTTGAACTTTCTAACTATTTGAGGACATTAGAGCTCTGATACACCATTTCGAGCTTATGTAAGGAGGAGGAAGCCGATCACCGGAAAGATAGATGCAAGGGCTGAGGTTGGAGCTGCAGGAGACAACATCAGGGACACGCAGGAGACAACATCGCCTGGAGAATGATCAGAGTGGCAGAGCAAGGAAGGGAAAAGGGGTTTTTAACAAACCCATTATTACCTAGTATTAATTATTACTATAGGCTTTTGGAAAACGGTTTTGGGCGCGTGGGGATTGGCGAACCTCTTTTGGGTTGTACAGCGGATATAAAAACGAAAGATGGGATATTGGGTTCCTTGTGCATTTTGTGATTGAAAGTCTAAGGGTAAGGGGTGAGGGAGAGTCTCACACGAATCAACTCTCAGTCGTTGTATTGGTGTTTTCCCATTTGATCAATACAACTTGCGTATCTATTTTACATTGTTGTTCTATCATCTTTGGTATCAGAGCATCTCGATCTCCGATGACTAAGACCAACAACACCCAACGCATGGATAAGCTCGAACAATCCCTTGCCGAGCGCTGGGATTC